ATCCCAGCGTGAGGGGCGGAGCTTAGCGGAGCGCCTAGTGCAACTGCGCAAACAGCGCCTTGGGGCGCCTAACGCGGCTGCGCTCTTCGAGCTTGTTGGGGGGGGCTCAGAGAGAAGTGGCGCGTGGAGCACTGAGGAAGTGCGGCTGCGCGTTCCCGATGTGGAGCCGAGCGTGGAAAGGCATCGACGGCGTCGCGGAGTGCGGCTGCGCGATCCGGGCGTGTGCCCGGAGTGGAGAGGCCGACCTGGCGTCCATGCGCTTGCGCAGAATGGCACTCAAGGCTTCTGGTGGCCGCGGCCGCCTTCGTCCCGTTCCAAACTGTTGTTCTGCTGTCCTTGAGCCTGGTAGCCAGCTGTCCGTTGCCAAAGGAGAGAAAGCCCCCGCTAATTTGACTTGGAAACTGGAATGCGGATGCCCTTGGCCTGTGCCCCAGCCCTGGCTTCCTGTTGGACCTCTTGGGTCCGTGGATCCCTTGCTAGGGTTAGCTGGACAGGAGGGGCCGGGATCCCTGATTCAATTCTGATTGAAGTTGTGACTGCTGGCTCAGCTGCTTGTGTGCACAATGGGGTTTTTCCCTGTCCAAGCTACTTTGCTAAAAGTTTTCCCTCCTTCCCCTGCTGAGGCTGGAGCATGTCCAGTTGCTGAACGAGGACTTGGCCGTCCCTAGGGAACTGGGAAGCCACAAGGAGAGGAGCCCCCTGACCCTATCACGAATGTTATTTATGTGTGTGCGTGCGTGTGAGCACACACACATGCTGTGTGAATAACGTGCCTGAAGAGCTCCAGGATCTGTTGTGGGTGCTGTGACAACCCTAGGCCCTCTGCAAGAGTAACAAGGCTTAGCCTCTGAGCCATCTGTCTAGCTCCCAAACTTCATTGTCTTTAAAAGTAATTGCATCTGCAGAGATTTTTATCTCCAAATTCTCATGCCCCAACAAGTGTCGTTAACTCAGCCAAGGGCAGTCAAGAGGAATCATTTCCTGGCAACATAAACAAGGACTTCAACTCAGTTGTTAAAGGAGCTACACAACAAATTGGACGAGCTGAGTTTGTTTCTGGGACCCACGTGTGAGAAAATGGACTCCCACTAGTAGCCATGGCTAGCCTCCATGTGTGTGCCATGGCACATGAGACACACATAGACCTAGCCCTCAGGAGGCAGAGGAGCAGTCAAGTTCAAGGCCAGCCTGTAGCTTAGAGCTACCAAGCAAGAGCCTACTTAAACTAACAAGCTAAATAAGATGACACAAAAATTTTTGGC